TAGAGTTCATTTCCAAATCTTCGAGTCTTATGCCCCCTGTATTTTGACATCTTAGCGACAAGTCTCTCCGTGACTTGTGCTCTAACGTTTGTGGCCTTTGATTCTGCCCTGTCTAAGTCCCCGTCCCTTGAAAGCGCCCGGTAGTGTGTGATAGGTACAGGCGCTGGTTGATCGAGTTAACATGTAAATGTCCCTATTCCTTTTGCTTTCCTACCATTTCGCTCTGACTCTGGACAGAGATCTGCATGCCTTCGAATTTCAAGGTGTGGCTATTGACCTTATGTGGTGGGAAAGTCGCGCAAGCTGATAACAGAAGGCACTATCGCTTTGTGATCTTCTAGTTGTTTTTCTATGGAGAATTTCCAAGATTCGATGGGTGTGATTATAGCCGACTGCCTTCCTACTTTAATTGGTCTTTCATTCACTACTCCTTCCAGTTAGTGATTCGACCCGTCCAAACCCTGAGCATATATGTTTGTTCTCTTATGCCTAAGTTCAACGGGGGCTCGAAACGTCGAACAATTCACTTACGTTCTCCATACCTCTATGACCTTATTCCTTTCCTGTCTCTCCTATGATGGTTTTGTTGTACTTGGACGTTTGTCGGCGGTCATCAGCGCTGTTAAGTCGGACTCATGTATCGCAGCCACGTGAAACGGTGCGGTCGATGCCTTCAATCGCTATAGAGGCTATTGAGAATCTCTGTCAGCTTGAATTTTCACTCTCAAATACCGAGGACCGCTAGAGGTGGAAATGATAATGAAAATAACTTCTTCCTCGCAAATACGAAGGGAAATATGACAGCAGGGTTTACCCGTCGTAAACGTCTCGGGTCCATTTTAAAAAGTATGTACACCTAAAAAAGAGTAGACTTTTGAAAATGCTTAGATACTCACACCAGGAGCAGTGATGACTCCTTCGTCTCTAGCATAGAGGTGAATTTTCAACCGGCGCGTGATTTTATGTCGAGTTCGACGGTTGATTATTTTATCTGAGGAGCATCTGACACGAGTATTGGTAGAAGTCAAGCAATGTAGTGGTTTGGTTGGTGGTTTTTGCACGTCTTAGTAGTTGTTTACCAATTTCAGGCTATTACTGGCTTCGAACTTTCTGCTCAGTAGATATGGAGCCTTGCAGAAACCCTCGCTGTCCGTGTGCAGACCAAGTGATCCGACGAACGTGTCTTCTCCCATACTCTTAACATTTTTTATAGAGTTATAGGTTTACATTGCATTTCTTGTGTGTTCCATGGATTGCCCTTCTGTCATCAGATAGGCTCATTAAAAATGGAATTAGCATTTTCGAGTCCAATATTACTAGCCAAAATAAAGTCCGTTTGAGAGTCGGCATGTTGTCTATTCGAAAGAATGGCTTACATGATCTATCAAAACTCGTTAGTCATGGTGAAACCCTTTAAAGGCGCTGGATAAAAAGAAGAAGGACTTAATTCATCTTACAATACCGATAGGCAAGAAACCTTATTTTCATTTGAAAAATTCAAATTGTGAATATTTTCTATTCATTTTAGGGCTTTCACATGTTTCTATGCACTGTGCAATTGCAAAAGAAAATCTTGGCTTTAATGGGCCTGCTGAGCGGATTTTTCAACACACAAATAGAGCGCTGTTTCGAGAGTTTTTCATGAAATGTCCAGTTTGAAACTAAAAACGCAGTTGGTCCCATTGATAGTTTTGGTGAACCCTTATAAACACACCAGTTGCAAGGGCAACGACCAGTTAACGAGTTAAAGTTTCGGCGAAAACGCTGTTTATAAAGTCGGTTCTATCTTGTTTCTTGGATATGTAATAAAAATAACCCCTTAAGAGGTTTACGTAGGGTTCAGCTTGGTAAGACAAGGACAATTTGTAAAGATAGTTTGCAGAAGTGTTCGTTGGTCAAGACATCGGGCATTAATCTTTTCCAAACTTTTAATCAAATTTCATTGTTTCGTTTCATACTTTTGGCCAGTTTAATGGGGGTGTTCTTCGGATGCTTGGAATCCAGCGGGTAACCGGAATCCGAAACCCCCTAAAACCGTTGGTTGTGACGAAGCTGTAGTTTCTGGAAGACGAATCAACCCACACTAAAGTATCAAGTTTTTTTGTTAACCACTTGAACTTCTTGAGAACTTGTCAGGCTACCAACCAGCCGAGCATACATACTTCTTCGGTTACGCCATGTTCCCCGACGGGAGAAATACAACTTTGTCTGGAAACGTTCATGATGTTTTTTCGAACATTAATTAAATCCTACACATATTGTATTATTTCGCCGATTTTTCGCACTTTTATTCATTGATATTGAGTTAGGACTAAAAACTTGCCACCCACTTAACTTATAGATCGTCTTGATTAACTCCTAATTCCGTGTTGCCATCATTTGATTTTGTTATACGGTAATAGAGGGCAATTAATAGGCATCGCCAAAATTTTTATTTCAACCTCCGTCGCATTCTACACAATGCGAGTCCTCTGCGAAGGTTTCTGTGAGGACGCGAAAGAAACAAGAAGCTGTGTTCCTCATCCTAGGTCGAATGTGCCCCAATTTTTAATTTCATTATGAGTTTCCCTAGCACTGGGAATTTGGCCGACGGTAAAACTGCTCACTTACCCAAGTGGTAAAAATGAAATACGCATATTATTGTACACTGTGCAACTGAAAACAGGTGTTTCTGTAAACTTTAATTCATCTTCAAAGAGCGATGTCATACGCTACTGAGCATATCGATCTGTTAATCGAACTACCACCTAAGTTTTCACGTGAAGTGTTGGTAGCCAAATTGGGGAGTCAACAGCCCCTCAGGCTTGCCGCATGGCCGCAGAGACCCATACCTGAGTTGGAATTTCGTTAAAGTGCTTTATAATTTACAAACCGTGTAACCAACAGCTACAATTCCGATGCATGTGCACTAACCATTCAGACAGCTGAAAGCAAATAACATTCGACTAAGAAGTTCACACTCAACTGCAAGCTGCTGGGACTGTCCTCCCCTAACATTTAGTGATATATAAGGAGAATTCTTAATCTTTTGCCGATAGTTAAAGAACTAACAAACGTTACAGTTGAACTACTTCTATACCTTGTACGAAACAATGACCTCAACAAAACTCTCATGTGTGTTTGGCTATAACACGGGCTGGATGTCCCCTGGAGTAGTTTTCAGCGCACAAGGTATACTGCTGACTGCCTGGCTCAGTAAGCATGAACAGTCGGCGACTGTCAGGCCTTACATTGCACGATTTGGAACTGAGGAATATGAAGTCTCCTTGTAGCCAGAAATTCAATTAACAAGCTTGGACGAACTTGTAGTGCAATGGTTAGTAAATGAAATTTTCAAAAAAAGAACAAAACCGGCTAACTCAGTTACATCTCAACGCTCCACAAGATCGTCAAACACATATCTTAACTGCTGACTGGCGTCCTATTCAAAGTGCACTGAAGCGATTTCCCCGAACGTCAGTGCCGTGTAGATAGTACGGAATCTAAGCAGGCCTATCAGAGTTCCTGCTAAATTTAAACGTGCTGAGAGTTTTTATGTTCAGGAATCAGATTGATCAGTTAAAAAACCAAAACGAGTGCCGACTGAATTTACTACGAGCACTGAAAATCATGTGGTCCAGGTCGTAGAAGTTAGTATAAATTTGAAATGAATAAACTTTAAAGCTCGTTTATGACAGTGGCATGCCGGCTTCGATATCAGCCCTTCATAACATCACTGTTAATTGGAACCGATAAAGAGCCCCTATTCAAAGAGCTCATGTTATTTTTCCACCGATTATCATTATTGTATAAATTTGGCTATATTTTATAGAAACGATTCAAAGAAAGCTCTTCCCTTACCCCTATCTACAGAGACACTGTCTATCTGAAGGTATATGGGCGAAATAAGATGATATATTGGCAGGTGGTTCGGTAATGTATCCGTATTTCCTAGTTATTTTAGATTAAACACAGTTATTCTTGAGGAGCGCTGTTGACAACACTAAAACTGCGGTATCAAGATGCTAATCGGTGCGATTATGTGGTACCACACCGGGCGAGTACTTGTAGCCATTTCATTCCTGGATGCGTCTTTCGAAATAAGCAGATTTTAAGACCATAATTTCATCTTTGATCTGATGTCCGTCTGATGCAGTCTACCAAGGGGCTGAAGCTGGTCAGCTGAGAGCTACTGAAAAATTGGTGGATGGGCGCTCACTGATCGTTCTTACGGAACTCGCTCGTTCCGTTGTGCCTTATGGGCTCTCCCTCGAGCCCAACCAGCAGCCACACAACAGCACATGATACAGGCAGTATGTCATTACCGACAACGACCAGGGAGACTGGAATGGCCATTTCTGGCTTATTAACCGTCGTCAACCAGTCATATCCAACCCCGAAGTGTAGAATACCCTATATCATGCGCCGCTGTGCGGCTGCTGGTTGGGATCGAGAGAGAGCCCGTAAGGCACAACGGAACGAGTGAGTTCCGCAAGAACGATCGGTGAGCGCTCATCCGCCATTGTGTATTCCCGATCGAAACCGACATGGCAACGGGTTCGAGGCCCAGTAGTTTGAGGTGTGGACTTCTTACTAACAGGTCTCGAGTTCGAGTCTCGGGTGTTCCATACTTCGGGGTTGGGTATGACTGACTGACGACGGTTAATAAGCCAGAAACGGCCATTCCAGTCTCCCTTGTCTTGGTCGGTAATGACATGCTACTGAAACATTCTTGGATTCTCCCAGAATGACCAGGGATAAATTTTCTGGATCCCTAGCCAGAGATACGGTTTTTTAAAAGCGATCTCTATTCGGTCTGATTTCCTGGTCAGACTCAGAAAGTGTCGACAACTTCCTAGTTCCTTAGTTTAACCATCCAGTACCTTAAATCATTAGTAGTATCAAATCACACACCTGTTTCCATTCATATATTCAAGAAGTGCTCATTTAATGCAAAAAATATTGCAAAAATACTAAATTTCCAGCAGCACTAGTAAACAAATCAGAAAAAGGAAGCAGGATTACACAGTTAGGCGGTCCTTAAGGAGATTTTCTAAGAGACGAGCATCGGCAGCGAATTTTCGGATGCCCTCCGACAGTTTGTCGTTTGCCATCTCATCTTCATTCATTTGCCAACGGAAGGTTGCCTCGTCCATATGAATTCTTTCCACCTCCGGGCAGTTTGATGTGGCTGCAAAAGCATCACAGGGCAAAATGTGTACGACTATAGACAAAGGCCAGCGGATGGGTACAGGTTAAAGAACGTTTTAAGTTTGCGTTAAGAGTCACGAGTATGTACGGTCATTGTCTGCAATATAACATTATAAAGCCTTAAGTACTGACCAGTCTTTTCTGATAGATGGACCTGGGGAGTTTCATTCATGGATGCTAGAGACCCCAGTAAATTTGGAGAAATTGTGAGAAGATCACACCCGGTAAGACCGAGAATTTGTTCGACATTTCGAAAAGAGGCACCCATTACCTAAACGAGACAGAAAAGAATGCATGCATATGTATATGGCGATGAATGCGAATGATAGGAAAGGCAGTAACTTATGCGAAGTCGTAGAGGTGAGTAGTGCTTAAAAATGGTCCCTCCCTCCAATCTAAAAGTCCCATGCAAAGGTCTTCCACTACCCTCGAAAATCAAATAGGTCCTTAAAAAATCGCCCTGGATAAAGGGTCTAGGGATATATCAGTTTAGAGAAGATGTATGGTGATTTCCGTTTTTTTTAGTTTCTCTGATAACACGGAGATGGAAACCGAGATTCAAAGCATACCTGAGTCTTGTATCCGAATTTTTTGTAGTAGTTATATATTTTTGTGACCGAGATGACGCCTGGGTCTTCAAGACGCTGAAATTTGCTTATTCCTTTTTTCGCCACATACCAATCGTAAATCCGACCGACGAATGGAGATATGAGTGTAACGCCGGCCTCTGCGCATGCCACAGCCTCAAAACAGTTATATAAAAAATCAGTTTTACTTGAGCAAAAGAAAAAAGCAATGTTAAATTGCAGTGGACCCCGTGTAAGGACTCCAATTCTTGCGCAGCCTGGATGCCTTCCCATGTCGAGCTCAATTTTATAAGAACGCGTTCCTTCGGTATGCCATATTGATGGTATAAGTTAATTAAATCAAGAGCTTTCTTAACTTGAGCATTTTTGTCGAAGGAAAGTCTAAAAATAAACATAGTTAAATTGGCATTGCCTAGCATCAACTTCTGTGGAAACACGACCAGGAATTATTTGCAGAATTTCTTTGCCAAACATCACGAAAGTGTGATCCATCGCCAGCTGGATTTGCTCACAAAGATCACTAAACAGTATGCCACGTGGATAAAGAATAAATACCTTGATGAGGACTTTGCACGCTTAACAGCTTCTTCCAGAATCGAAGAATACTGTGGCATTTTTGAGGCCGCAAGTATGAGAGAAGGGTTTGTGGTGGCATCAACTGGGCAGTACTTTCGTATGCCTTAAGGTATTCCATAGACATTTCTGAAAAAATACTTGAGAAGTCTCCTGTGTCGGCAACGACCACTGTGTGCTGCTTCAATATGTCAAGGGTACACGACATCTCCAGAAGCAAGTTCAGAATAGACGCGTCCTAGAGCTGCAAATGGCGCGGTGATATGTCATTCAACCACCAATCAGAGCACTGGCTTAGTATGCTCGTAAGGCCCAAGATATTCTAGGTTCAGTTCAGTCCAGTGTGTTAATGGAGGTTTACATTTCCACCTAACCAGAAAGTTCGATCTCTCTGGCAAGACAAACATCTTAATCAGAGTACTGAAGGATCTCCGAGAGATTCATTTTCCTCGGAATTCCTATACTCTGGTCGTCCTTACAATCTGCCATTAGAGAAAAGCAGATTGAAACAACCTACATCCCCGCTTTCACAAATTTTCAACGGGATTTCAATAATGCGGGCAAACCCCCTTCTGATCGCTTCTCTGTTAAAGGCTCGACGGCCTTCTCCAAAACTACAAACGTCCGAGTCGTTTCGCCGTTTGTTTTATACAGTTGGCCCACTTAAAATACTTCATCCCATACTTTAAATACGTCCTACATCCATTGGATTAATAATGGGAGCTGAAAAGCGCCCACAGATGGCATTAGAAGTAGGGCTCCGCCGCGCCAAAACTAACGAGGATACCACTAGACTATCGGCGCATTGTGCAAGGACTGAAATGAATAAATGAGAAGACATTAGTCTTAGTAGAAATGACGGGAACTTTGCGTATTTCGCTGTCAAGTCCCTTTCAGTCAAACGGGCAGGGAGTTAAATAAGTTAGATGGATGTCAAATATAAGGATGAAGCCTGAACGACATGTTTTGGATTCCTTCAAATTTCTATGGAAATGAAGGAGATTAAAAGTCTGGGAATGAAAATGCAAAACTTGTTAAAATTTTCTTCACTATTTACTCGAAGAGAAGATAGCGGTGGCATCCGAAATTCAGGAAAAAGTGCGCACGTATGAAAACTCGGCTTTGTTTGCTGTGTCGACCGAGGAGGAAGGAAATAGTGGATCTATGGTGCTCGATATGACTGACAACCAGTATCTGGTACGAGAAAGGGGTAAGTAGGCGAGATTTCAGTAAAAAGAGATATTTTAGAGCAATTCGAAACATCCAGACGGTCTGATAAGAAAGCCACATTTGGGTACACCGCAAACAAAAGTCGTGCCTCCAAAAATGACTACTGATCAAGAATGACGGTAGTCAGGAAATTGCGATGAAGTCTCTGCACGTATATTTAAAGGACAAGGCCTTCTAGTCGATCGCAGTATATGCATTGTCATAAAGGGCATGCCTGAGTCTGTTTCCGACACTCTAAAGGACAGAATATATCATGACTTATAAATATTGCAGCAATATCTCAAATCACTCTTAAGAGTGACCGAGAACGTAACCGTATTGAAGGCTTTCAAGATGGGAGGAATAAAAGACTCGAAAGACGGATTAGACCTACCGAAACCGTTAAAAATTTTCTTCCTCAATGAGAAACAAAATCAAATAATGTTAAGCAGGAAATCCGTACTCCAAAAATACTCACAGAGCAGTTTTCAGCGATACTTCTCACGTGTAGAGAGCGACAGAAAGAGAGCGCGAGAGAGAGAGAACTAAAATGGGCTCAAACTGGAAGCCCACAGGAGATCAATCCTGGGTGAGAAAGCTCTCAAAATGCTTAACAAGAATATCATACACGCCCAAAGGCCATTCATCTGGAGAAATCCTATAACACTAATGACTTAGATGTGATGGAGAGCGGTCCATTTCCATCACTTCCGGCCGGTTTTTGTATTCAATCTCATGAAAAGGACAAACACCTGCATGCCAGACTTCCTTAGGCCAAATTGAGACTTTTGTACACTTATGCTCAAAGTCTCTTTCCAAAGATCGGCGAACTTAATGCGCTACTTTCGGAATGAAACCATGGTGTCATTTCCATAATGCAAATATGGCTTAAAACCTGAGTCGTGGATGCCGAAATTTCGATACGGAGTTACCAGCTCTTTCACAGAAACCGTCAAATAAGGACGGTGGAGTGGTCGTGTTTGTGAAGACAGGAATTTCGACAGTTAAACGAGCCCACACATACTCCTCTGAATATGAATCCCTGGATAAGTATAAAGAAGAGTAATGCACAAAATATAGAACGCTTGACAAGTTTATAGGCCACCCAATATTCCGATTGTAGCTGATAAGTCGGTCCTTCATTCAATCAGGGAAGTAACCAGACACTAAGTATTGGCAGTTGATGGTGCGCCAACTTCCTTCAGTCATAAGCTTATTGACCTCGCACTCGACCTACCTCTGCTACAGCATATATAGGCACCAACCAGATTTAGAGAGAATCGGAGGCCCAATTGCTTGGACCTATTTCTTACAAAGGCTTATCTAGTCTTGGCGAAGTGTATTTTAGTGCAATTCTCAGAAAGGCTGACCATAATGCGCTGTGAAGTGATAACTCGCTCTCCTCTCAACGTCGGAACTGAACAGAAGGCCGACCAAATGTATAGAAGGCAGATTTTATAACGATGCAGTACGAATAAAAGTCCGCGAAATCAGACTGTTGGCTGAATGTGGATCCGGAAGACGGCTGAAGATCGTTTAAGAAGGTTGCACTCAATCAAATTCGGCGCTGTTGTCCACTGAAGCTCCAAAACGACTAATAGATCTGCCTGTTTGACTGTGGACCTAAATAGACAATAATAGTATTAACAATAATTGTATGTAATACCAGCTTAGAGGCTTTGTCACGGAAACGTTTAACAAACATCCGGCCAACAGTGAAAAAATCTCCCGCCAGAATGGAATAAAAATAAAGTTGATGGTGGTTTTTATAGTTTACAGGGTTCAAGAGAGTAAAAACTGCTGACCACAAAATGCCGACAGTCAAGAAGGAAGAGATTGCACTGAATTGGATATTATCGGTCGCCTACTCTTTTCATGAAGTCTGGGCTGTTCCAAACAGAAGCGCCGAAGAACAGCCGTCTCTTTTGGCTAAAGCAATTGTCGCTGGTGAGACTGGCTATAGAGATCAGAGACCACAAACGCATCGCTACAGCACAGTCTACCAGTGGATTCCGCACAAAGAATTTGCGGGAGTTTTTCTGAATGCAAAAATTCAGTAATAATTATCTTAGATAAAAGATAATTTTTGCATAGTTTTCACATTAATTGTTAGTTTATTCCAAATAACAATTGAATTTACAGAAAAGTAAGACGATATTTAACGGTACGTGCCAGAGGAAGAAATAAAAACGACTTTAATGGTGCCTGTCACGTCGGGGGTGGACAATATGACTTAAAGTGGTCAGTGGGTTAAGGGTCCGATTATATAAAAGCTTAAATAGCAAATATAGTCTCTTTTGTAATCTACGAAACCATAAAGGATTAAAGCCTGTAAGCCAGCAAAGTTCTTGGAACGACAAATGTGGGTGAACCGGGGTTAAGACTCTCTTGATGAAAAAATGTTGGACGGATTCTATTTTCAACAGTTTAGCTGCACGCATGAGGCTAAATGAACACGAACAGTATTCCAAGGCTCTTCCTCTATCCCTCATAAACTGAAACCAGGTCTAACGTACATGTTGTAAAGACCCATTGGGGTGTCGCTGGTTTAAAAAGTTGCGGAGGATAAACCCGACCGTTCTTCGTGTTTTGAAGACTAGAAACGCACAGTCTTCGGAAATATTGAGGCTCATGGAGTATGACACACCCAGATCCTAAATAACCCCAGGCATATTTACGGCGTGACCGACAATACTAAGTTGACGTTGGCGGTCATGGATATTAATGCCAAGAAAGACAAAGACTACATCTGCGGCATCACTATGCAACGGCCTGTAGGTCGCTCTCTAGGATCTCAAGCAAGATGTCAAGATTTGCCGGAGTATTTTCCTTTGCAAATTTAACATCATCGGCAAACACGAAAGGTTTACCATTCTGAAATAAATCGGGTACACTATTAACGAAAAGGCAAAATGAAAGCGGGCCGAGTACACTACCCTGAATGACTCCACTCCTCACACGTGTGGGGTTGGAGATAATATTGGAAATCTTAACTCGTTGTGTACGTGTGCCCAGGTAAGAGGATATAAAATTCAAAAGTTTGCCACCACTTCCGAAAGAGGACAGTTTCAAGAGAAGAAGGGCATGGTCAACACGGTGTAACGCCTTAGTGAAATCGAAATACAGTATGTAAAGTGCAAAATCATTGTCCCTAGATTGGAGAACATAGTCAAAGAAAGAGAGTTGACAGGTGTCACAAAATCGAGGTTTGAAGAATCCATGCTCAGCAGCACTCAGTAGGTTATTCACTGTTAAGTGAGACATCATTTTATCTTTGATCAATGTCTCTAAGATCATCGGAACTGCGTGGAGGATGTTTATTGGCCGAAAGTCATCAAATGACGTCTATTTGCCGTGCTTAGGAATGGGCAAAATGTGTGATTCCTTCCACAGGGAAGGAAAGGTTTCACTTTCAAGAGCATATTCGTTCTATCTGCCTCGATTTGAGTGCTAAGGGTTGTTGAGAACACCCTACGTTTTGGGCCGTGGTGTTTGAGGTAGTGGGAGGCGATTTTGGAGGAAACGATTTCATACTTGAGCTGAATTTACCAGGTATCCGAGTAGCTGAGATGGTATTTGTATTCGCCTGCGACATGGACACATGCTTAGGCTTGCTGGGACTTGCAGAGTGAAGTAAAAAATAGAAGATATTCAGGGAAAATGGGTCACCAGTGAATCTCGAAGAGTTTCGTATTCAAAGAAAAGCAGCCGAAAGTGCCTTCGTCAGGCTCGGATGGTGTATGAATCTAGAATTCTCCGATAGGCCGGACAGAAGCCTAAGCTTTTATTCTGCTATATCAACAGTCGACTGAACACAAGGAATCCGACACAGATTGGTGAAACTTATATTTGTTTAATTTGATTTCTTAATCTCCTGCATATTTCTCCCGTGTAACTCCCGCGACATTTTCCATTTTTGTCATAAGTAATCCCAGCTTCCCGTCGTGGTTTGTCGATTTATCATGAGGCGGAAGTAAAGTGTGATAGATTTTCACCCAG